AGTGTAATCTAATTTTCATGTATTTTTGTATGATAAATTTAACAATTTGTAATAAATGATTGTTTAGTGGCGATTGTGATAAAATGTGACTATTTAAAGAAGGAAATATATTTTTTATGTTAATTTGAGACATGGTTTTTATTATTAAAAAATCTATTGGRTTTCCCAAATGTTTAGGAACTTCGTTAATTCTGGAAATAAATACTTGTTCACTTGCCTTACAAAGTGTTATGACATCAGTTGATGGTTTTATTAGTCCTCCTCTATTTTTTATGTCAATAAGTGCATATTTTTTTGTCTGATCTACAAGAGCATCACAACAAATATGACAAGTAATAGTTTTTTTTAATTGTTTTACTACAAAACCTGAAATATATTCTATTATATCTTGTCTATAGGTATCCATATCCATGTCTACAGCATCATCTTGTTCGTTTTCATCTTCCTCTACACATAAAATATCCAAGAAATTTTCTTTTATCATTTTTGTACCACTAGAAACAAATAAAATACTGGTTGAATCTTGAGGGGCACAATTAGCATTTGTAGAAACTGACAATTYAGTATGAACCAGTAATCTTTTGTAAGTGGCTTCAAACTGTGMTGCTGTAGGATTATTATTAAAACCACCTCTTGATCTTATTGCAGAAAACAGCATTTCCAGATGGTCCTGAGAAATTTTGTATGAAAGGATAAAACTCATTTGTCCAGTTTTAATAAGATTTTCAAATAATCTTCTCATACTTTGAAGACACACAATGAGTCCATTAAAACCTGTTTTTCGTGGAGATGTAAGTATGTTTAAATGATCTCTGCTTTGTAACGATTTTAAATAATTTATTGATGAATCAATAAAATTATTCATATCAGYCTCGTGTTCTAAGAATAATGGTTTCTTGTATTTAAGTTTGCTTAAAAAATTTCTAGTRTTAAGAAAGTCAAACACATCATTTATTTTTCTACAAAATGTAATTGTTGCATTGCAATTTTCAAAATTTTTAATTTGTTTTGTTTTACAATATAACAATGCATCAGCTACACTTGTGCTTAGTACTTGTGCAGCCAAGGAAACCTTCATTTTTTCTTTGCTATAAAAAACATGTCTAGACCGAATTTTTGTAGCCAAATGCAGCCTGTTGTCTTCTTGCAACTTGACTAATTCTTTAAAATATTTCCACTCTATAGCGTTGCCGTCAGCATCATATAATATTTCCCAATCTCCAATCGTATTTCTGACTAGTTTTAGCTTATGAGCTGGGTCTAAAAATATACACACGTCTTCTTTTGTCACTGGATGGAGAAACGATGAAATTTGATTGTGTAKATCTGCTCCTAAATGTCTGGCCATTGAAATATTAGAAGCAGCTCTGTCAAAAGTAAGAGTTTTTACAATAGCACCGGTTTCATGAATATTAGTTAGACACGTCTCAAGGAGATTGGCTTTTTCTTCAGCAGTTAATCCATTTATTAGGAAGTATGCAACAGGGATTTTCCAATGTGAATTTAATGCAACAATTAAGAACACAAGAACTTCTGTAGCTTTTGGCATTGCATCCGAATCATTTACTTTGTGTCCATAATTAATGTATCCCTGTAAGTGTTTACCATTAAAATGTACAGCTTCTCTGATAGACATTTCATCCATGATTAAACCACACACTAAATTTAAATTTTTTTGTTTCATTTCAGTTACTTTCATTGCAATGGCATTCAATGATTCTTGAGTAATTCCTGGAGACCCATCAATAGTRGAATACCACTTACGGATAGTGCTTGGATGAGGCAAACATTTTTTGAATGTTTTTCTCACATAATTGTATGCTGCAGGTGAATAGAAATGCAATGTGAGTGCAAAAGATCGTAATTCTGGGGTTACTGTGTTCCCTGAAAATGTATGTAATTGATTTATCACCATTTCGTGCAGACTACTTGACAATGTTTCCTAAATGTTWATAACCCACTAGTAAATACAGCCTATTTAATTAAATCAATAGTATAATACATACCTTCAGAACTGTAAAACAATTATCTGATATCATTTTTTTTTCATCYTTTRGATGTTTCACTAAATCATCTAATGTCTTCACTCTTTTAGTCAATAATAAATTTTTTTTATTCAGRAACTTAATTCGTTTTCGTTGATTTTCTACAGTTGCATGCGAAGCATTCCAAAATTGCAACCTTCTGTTAGGGGGTGTCAAATTCATTAATATGTTTGAAATCACCCACAAAACATTTTCTCTTTCTGTAAAATTGAATTTAGAAATTATATTTTTTTATTAAATTAAATACATTGTAATTGAATACAAGTAGTATATATGTGCCAACAATCCATGTACAATTATCATTAATTTCTGTTTAAAATAGTAATTGTGTTAAATTGTTTTCGTAATTTTAATTTTTATGAAATTGAACACGATTAAAATTTAAATAGAAATTAAAGATAACTGCGCTAGAATTGGTACATTTGTACTACTAATACAAATTATATAATATGCTATGAATTATAGAACTTACTTATTAGCAGATACATCTGATGATGACTTTTCTGTACTAGATATTGTTTCTACTGTATTCTGCTCAGTGGCTTCAGTTGAAACTATAACTGTGTCTAGTGTCCCTGTTACACCTAAAAATATAATTTAACTATAGGTACTAGGTATTATATTAAAAGTGAAAATAATATTATTTATCATTGAACAGTTTAATGATTCAAAAGGTTCAGCAAATGCATCTAATAATGACAATGTCACAACTTCTTCCTCTGCATTACAATTAGAAACAGTATTTGACTCACAAAACAATTATCTACGTGCAGCTAAAATGTTTAAATATTTTTTAATATTCAGTTCTTATAACATATTTATACCTTGTATTAAATTTTAAAATCTTATTTATAAAAAGAAATATTGATAGTCCTTTTTAACAAAATTATTTGCAATTTTATCAACATTTTAAGTTTAAATGCTTATAAACAAAAATGTGGACTGTGTAGTTTCAATATTTTTTATGTGGTATATGTACAACTCATGAGGAAGGTTATATTACATATTTAAAGTGTTTTACCAAGCAAATACATTTTTATCAACATTTAATGATTTTTACTTACTTGGGTTTAAGATACTTGGGACAGCATTTTTTTTCAATTGCTTAGTTTGATATACACTGGTAGCTGTAATTTCATAGTCCAAATCAGAATCAAAATGTAGCCCACAGATGGTACAAGTTTTTGAAAGCTTAAATGATGGATTACTTTTTTCAAGAAATTTAATCCATTCCTTAGAAATATCTCCTTTAGGAAGTCTAAACATATAGAAAAATTTAAAAAAAAAATTGAATTTTTTTCAAAATGTGTTTTTTATTGTTAGAATGTCAATAAAAAATAAATACCCGTGAAACTTAATTCCTTGACCAGCTTTGGAGTTGCATCCTTTCACTGAACAAGTTTTAACCATTTTTTATTTGAAAAAATATCAAATTAAATTTAAAAAAAATAAAAAACACGTGTAATTAGCATAACAGCATAAAAAAAACATGTAAACACAATGTCACAACTACTGAATTACGCAATTAGGTACTAGGTACGTCCAATGTCCAGCGGGGAGTGGGGATTTGTTTACACAACAACATTTTTTAATATTTAAAAAAATTAGAATCTGGCAAAATAGTTTTTTTTCAAATAATGGTCACACTGTATTTCCCCTACAGTTTCTTTTCTCTCTCATACTATATCGACGCCACGTTTCTCTGTCTAAGCGCAGTCCATTAGTTTATAGGTATATGTGTAGGCTCGGCATGATGTGGCAGACTGGCAGCGGATGACCGGTATGATGTTGTAACCGTATCGCAATACTTAAAATGAATTGCTTAATTTATTAAAATTATCAATATCACAGAAAAAAGAGATAACAATTGGAACACGCATAGAGTAATAATAATATATTAATCTATAGGAACATTCTACAGATTTCAAATTACAATACGATTACATCATGCCGATCTTCCACTGCTAACTTCATGCCGAACCTCCGGCAAAATGAAAACAAATCGATCAGCTGTTTGACTGTCGCTTACTCCATCGTCTAACTCCATCTTAGTTCTCTTCATACAACTTCAGAAGTGGGATTCAGTTATTAGGATTCGAATTCGGACAACTAATCAAAGGAAAACGAAACAACCCACAGAACCTCGAATCTCAAAAAAAAAAAAAAATGGAAAATAATTCGCAAAATGAGTATCATTCCGAGTCTGATGAAACAATAAGTCAAACGATGTCAGAAACTTACTTTTACCGAATTGGTAGTTGTAGGTAGTACCTATTAAAATCAGTCATAAAAAAACAAAATCTTATTTCACGAACGTTAAATCGGAAATTCAAAATTAATAATTTATTCTTTATTCTTTATT